CCTCAGAGCTGTTTGACAACTACATGCAGCAAGACGCCCACGAATTCCTCAACTACCTCCTCAACACCATCGCAGACCTGCTCCAGGAGGAGAAGAGCCAGGAGCGGCAGCAGAATGGAAAACTGGTGCAGAATGGCGGAGGGGGGGGAGGAGGAGGGAGTGCAGGAGGTGGAGGAAGTGAGGGAGGAGGAGGAGGAGGAGGAGAAGGGGAAGGAGGAAAGGAGACACAGCAGACTTGGGTTCATGAGATCTTCCAGGGAACACTGACCAACGAGACGCGCTGCCTCAACTGTGAAGCTGTAAGTGGAATCATTTGTGGTGCGGTTTGTAAGGGTTAAAGTGGTGATTTATTCGACTTGAACTTTTCAAAACAAAAGTGCTTCATCACAATAAGTATGAGCTATAAAAGAGGCAGGGCTGTAGGCACGGAAAAACCAGAAAACACATAAATAAAAGCCCCAAATGGTTGTTTGTTGGTTGGTATTTGAAACAGTCCAAACCAAATAAACATGGAGTTCTGTAGGTAAGCAGGGAGACGGGAGCAAAACAAAATAACTACAACCAAAAACTGTGCATATTTATTGAATTCAGAATCATTACTGGTCCCCAATGAAGGACAATGCAAAAAAATGTTATGCTCAAAACAAACAAGATTTTTTTACTATAATGAACCTGAAATATAATTATTCCCCTCTTGCTTAAATAGTTAATTTGTAGAAGTTATTTATCTGTATGTTCCTGGTAGAAAGTTGGTCCTAGACACCTGCACACTGTAGACCCCCAAACAGACCCAATCCAAAGATTTTAGGTCACTCATGGATGTAAACAACGTTGTGTTTAAAATACTTTGCACATGTTTTATGAGGGAGGAAATATATTTGTTAGACCTCGAGGATACACACAGAGTTTTGGTGAGGATCACTGAATATAAACACAAGTTGTGTTTGTATACAAGAAAACTCCACAGGGCACCTTTTTAATTTTCCAAATGTTTACCTGGTCGGATGTAAATCTGTTTGTGAGTGTTCCATGTGACACTGTGTGTATTCCCTGGAATTGTAGGTGAGCAGTAAAGACGAGGACTTCCTGGATCTGTCGGTGGATGTGGAGCAGAACACCTCCATCACGCACTGTCTCAGGTAGCACGGCGCTCTTATTAATCATCCGTGACAAGTCTCGTATGCTCACAGGATTATGGGAACATTGGAAAACAGCTTGAATTTGACATCAGCACTCCTGTTGATTTGTGTTGGTAAATGTGTGTGTTTGTCTTGTTAACAGGGGCTTCAGCAACACAGAGACGTTATGTAGTGAATACAAATACTACTGTGAGCAGTGTCGCAGCAAACAGGAAGCCCAGAAAAGGTGGGTGATCTCATCGGCTGGTTACTTTTTACTTCCTGCTGTGCAGATGTAGAATCAGATTTATTTTTTTCTGCCTGGTGAGGCGAAGTAAAGGAGTCAGTGTTATCTTCCATCTAGAGCTCAAACAATTAATCGATTTAGTCGAGCAAAAGAAGGTAAATTAGCAGCTATTCTGATAATAGATTTATGGTTAAAATCATCTTCTTGCAGGAAAAGCAATTTATTGGTTCTACCTTTTAAATGTTTAGGGTGTTTTCAGGGTTCCAACAGGTCCTGGAAATACTGGAAAACATTGAAATGTAGAGACTAGTATTTCAGTCCAGGTTGAAATGACCAAAAATCTTTACCCCCTCATTTACTGTATGAACCTGGATGCCTATTTCGTTTGAAAGTCGACTGTTGTGATGATAAGCTGTGTGAAAACTGGTATTAAATGTGTCAATAGTGAGCAAGTGCTGTCCCGAATTGTCAAGAAAAACTGGAAATTGATTTCTCAGAAAGAGTCAGTTGAATGAGAATAAAATAAAATGCATAAAAGGAAGCACAAGTGTTTTGCTTTCATGCATTTTATTTCATTGTAAACTGAATATCTTTTGGGTTTTGGCTGTTGGTCGGACAAAAATGGGTATTTGAAGACGTCACCTTGGACATTTTTTACTACTTTCTGGCATTTTAATGACCAAACTATCGTCAGATGACGATCATCGTCCAATCTTAATGAATAATAGGTTTAATTTTACCTAAATTTGTCACAGGGAAAGATAGGGTTTTGTGCAAATAAGGTACCTTTCAAGTTGTTTTGAATGCTTCCTTAAATAAAGTAAATTAAATCCTTATTGAGCTAATGTAGTGATAGTCATTGTAATATTAATTTCATCATCTTCGAGCACAAATAGAATCATTCTTTTTGTAGTGGAGGTTTCAGACACGAATGCACATCTTTTTTAGTAGGGACGCACAAAGCAATGTTTTGACACAGAGCTTAAGGGGTTAGCCGCATGGTAGCATGAACAAATTTTGTCCGTATTTGCTCTTTGCTGTGAGGAGCTGTCACCTAAATGAGCACTTTGTCTCCACATAGCTGTGTAGCAGCGGTGAAAACCGCAGTCGCACAGCTATATGCATCGCACCGTCGCTGTTGAGCTTTTCAAAGCGGACAAACACGGGTTCAGTTTGTTCCATTAGAAAGTACCCCGAAACCACATCTGACGTTACTGTAGCAACCAGACAGGGCCTTCCTGTTACACTCTGACAAGTTCATTATCAGTATTTAGAGTCGATGTGGGCCAAGGTGCCTATTATTAACCTCTGCACAGCAGTCTGACAACTGCCGGCCGTTGTTGCTCTTTCGCATTGAGTTTTACAAACCAACAGGCAGAAAAGTGTTGAGTGTGCCTGCTCACAACTGCACATGCGTGTGTTTTTATACGTAAGCGTCCAGCATTTCAGCGCCTGATAAGTGCACCAAGTAACATCCATTAGCTTGAAAGGGCCATGCTGTCACCAGCGTCTGCACCTCGCATTAACACTGAGCAGGATGCTGTGAGAGCGCCAGCTACAGGTTCAGCCAAATTAGAAGGCGCACAAAGCGTCTGACACGCACTTCTTGTTCCTGGTAGGGGATCTGGAACAGTAATGGTGTCAGCGTGGAAAGCTTTTAACCCTCAGAGGTTTTCTTTGGGGGAAATTGCCCTCGCTGCTTGTCTTTGTGTGATTCTACTTACCCCCTGGTGTTTTTCCACTTACCTTTTTATGAGCCTTTTAGTTTTATCTTTGATTTCTAGATTTTCTTTTTGATTTAAAACTATTTTACTTCTCTCGAGAGTGTTGAGTGTATAATTCAGTTGATAGATCATTTCTGAATCTCTATAAGAACCCACGGAGCAGCATTAAAACCACTTCCGACCATTACAAACCCCTCTCTCTCTCTCTCTCTCTCTCTCTTCTCTCTCCCTCTCTCCCATCAGGATGGAGGTAAAGAAGCTACCGGATGATCCTCGCCCTCCACCTGAAGCGCTTTAAATACATGACCAGCTGCACCGCTACACCAAACTGTCCATATCGCGTCGTCTTCCCCCTGGAGCTCCGCCTTTTCAACACGTCCGGGGACGCCACCAACCCGGACCGCATGTACGACCTGGTGGCCGTCGTTGTACACTGTGGCAGGTAGGGTCTTTCTTTTAACTTACTAGTCTTATCTGCTGTCCAACCTGCAGCATCTGTAGTGGTTTATGTTTGTTGTGCTTAAAAAATCCCAACTTACCAGAATTCAGTCAGATTTTTCATATTGTTTATGTAGTTTGATCATCAGCCAAAAACCGGAAAAGTTCATAATGTAAGGAAACAAATACAACAATTTAAGCTTAAGAGATATGGAATTTCATTCCTGCACTTCCGCTAAACTAAATCCATTAATCAGGCTAATTATTTTAGCATTTAAGCACTTAGATATGAACTTGCATTTTAAGGTCACATATATTATGCACAAATACACCTTTTTTTAACATCACAGTGATGTCTAGAGACCAAACAAATATATTTAAAAAAAAAAACACCTTTCTCTCCCCTTTTACCTCGCTCCGTTTATCAGGAAATGTGCTCCACAAAGCCTGATTTGCCTCTTGTACCTCGTCTGTCCCCATAGGAGTAAAAAAACAATTAAAAATTAATTCTACTTACTAATATTGTTTATAGTTTGGGGATTTAATTCTCTCCAGAAGCTCTCTTCTAACTCTCTTTCTTTTTAATATATTGCAAAACTAATTTCTAATATTCACTTGTCAGGTTCCTGCAGGCTGATTTAATGTGTAGGCTAATAGGCTGCTGAATGTGTTGTCTGTTAAAGCAACCTGCTGTATCTTTCACTGGATAAAATACCAAACAGAAGGAAGAGTGTGGTTAAGAAAGCACATCTTCCTCATAGCTCTCATTAACTGAACTCATCCTGTCAGAAAGGACATAACAGGCCAAATTTATGCTTGGTTTCTGATTAGTTGTTTGAAGTGGTCGCCTGTCATGCAGTCCCACCTGGCTGCTGTCAAAAGATCCATTATAAACTGCAGGGAGCTTCTTTTAATACCATCGCAGTGGCATTTTACATGTTGTGGCTAAAACTGACCATATCGTATTTAAATGAATTCTTCTTAAAGTTCATACTGTAGCAGGATTGCACAAAGTAATGCCGCATTTCTCTCTTTTTATTATTGGAATTGTCAGTAGACAAAAACGACCGGGGGTGCAGTGTTTACGTTCAGCCTGAGCAGCCACGCCGTTGATCCGTACAGTGTGAGCATAAAAGTGGCAGGTTGTGGCAGTGTCGAGAGGCTGATTAACACACGAGTTAACATAACGTACAAGATTAATAAAACACACTGTCTCCCAAGATTAACTTGAAATCTAAATGATCTAATGCTGTAAATCCAAAATGTACTCGGCTGATCCTTGGCAAGGGATGATAGCAGACACATATTTAAACAACTTTTTAGTAGATCTTAATCATTTTTATGAATTATAAATCATAATTGTATGTTTTTTAGAAGAATGAAAAAAGATAATAAAACCTTAACACAAGTAAAATAAAAATCTGCCAACATGGCTCGCTGTTGCTTTTGGCTGCTGTAGCCAGACACATTCAGACGTTCAGTTCAGGTGATTCAGGGATCTGGAACGTCTTCTGACGCAGATTAGCTGACATCAGCTGATGTGTAAGTGAGCAGATGCACGTTATTAGTAACTGGACTATTTTCAACTAGCGGATGAGGTTGATGTGACCCTCCGGTGGTGCTTTCCTCAGGTGGATTAACATTGTGTGTGAACACAAAGGCTGCAAATTTAAAACTGTGCTGTTTTTAAACGTTTTCAGATTTCCACATTGGAGATTACCCAAAAAACACCCCTATATATAAGATTCAACACTGAATGATGATGTTTTTAGAGCAATTATTTCATGCTTTTTCACTGGCGTCGGCTCAGCAATAACGTTCGAGTTTAAATTATTACTTGGGGAATAACAGTGAGCCGTTAACCACCATTAGCCACGAGTTCAATGCCATTCAGGTATTATTTTCATCGTGTGTTTCACTTTGTTTTCCCTCCCGTCTGTCTCCACGCTGCAGTGGTCCCAACCGCGGACACTATATCACCATCGTCAAGAGCCACGGCTTCTGGCTGCTGTTTGATGACGACATCGTAGAGGTGAGACAGATGTTTTCATTCTCCATTAACTCTTTTACTGTGGGCAATCAGATTCTCTAGTGTTTGTTTAAGAAATGGGCATCTACCAGTAAACGCTCTCCAGTTTCAATGCGTAATGGTATTAAATGATCCAGTATCCCATTCTGTACAATGATTTTTACAGCTTTAGGTAAACATGTAGCTTTATTTGTATTAGTTCCTCTATAGAAAGATTACTTGCTTTCATATCACAGCTCAGGTCTAAATTTAACAATGGCTTTACCCTCCTCTGTTGCTAAGGAGCAACCGCTGCCCCAAAATCAAGATTAAAAATAAGTTCAGATGATTCATTTAATAATGAACAGTTGGAAAGTTAATAGAAAAAAAATTCTGACACCTTGTGTTATTCAAGTCGTTTTTACATATTTGCACCTACAAAAGCCTTAAAACAATGACAATAGAGCCATTTACTAAACAAAAGTTTTAAATAAATTAGGACAAATCTGATGATTGGGGTATAAGAAAATTATGATGAATTATGAAATATGATCGCAATCTTTTGTTTTGTGTATTGATTCTTGAAAAATACCATATGGATTATTGTGTTCGAACCCCAAACCACTAGATAGCAGTGTTAAACATAAACGTAAACTGAGGCCTATGATGTTGGATGTTACAGCGATTGTGGTACAATGCAAACGCAGATCCCACTGTTCTAGCTGCATAACTATGTAAACTTGTTTTAATTCAGATTTTAAACATGTGGTGGTATGTTTATACTATGATAATTTTCCTAAAGTCAAAGAAAAGAAATCGTAACCCCTGTATCGTGTTATGTATGTCCAGATTCTTGCCAATACACAGCCCTACTGACGATAAAAAAATAACAAAACAAAGCAATTTAAAACAATATGAAACGATAAAAGGAGAAGAATTAAGTAAAATAAAATAATAAGTATTCATATAATATGAGTGAATATATAAGAGTTATATAAAAGAACAGACAGCTTGTTCTTTCCTGGTATTAAACCTCAACTCTGAAACAAACAGGTTTAATATGAAATATCTTGAACACTCAGGAACAGCAATCAAAGATTAAAATCCCCATAAGCCCTCCAAAGTTTCCCTCCTCATCCTAACCAGACAGGAATTTCAAACAGCCGTCCTTCCAGACTCTGTAGATCCTGGCGCTCCAAGTGTTGTGTCTGGACTTCCTACAACGAACCAACCTAGACACATTCACATTTGCTAAATAATGAGGAGTTAAAACAGGGTTTAGAAATCTATTAGAAATATTGAAGGGTAAAGGAAGGTATTCAGGAAGGAAAACAAAGATGAAAAAGTGGATACCTGCTGAAGATTAGAGCCCAAAGCCTTTGCCTGCCCTCTCAACATCACTTCTCATGTTCAGCATGTACCTACTTTGGTTTTAATTAAAACATTATTCATCCAAGTTATGCAATTTTAAACCGAGTGTCAGTTGGATCGGGAAGACCTGGACAGCGCATTGTGTTCGGAAAATTAAAACTATGACAGACTGCTGCTCTGTCTGCTCCATCCCTCATTTTTCTTTTTTTAATTTGTACAATCTGCAAGCAGACGACGCTGATACGTGACTGTGAAAAACTTCTATAAAAAGCAAACTAACAACTTTCACTCAAATGAGATAATAATTTATGAAATCGCTGAAACACAGTAACAGTTTCCCTGCTCCGCTCTCAGCACGCTTCCATCCACGCTGCAAACTGTTAGATCTCTGACTGCAGTCGTAACGATAGTGCCGATAATGCGATGATTTCTTAATCCGGGTAGGGGAAATTTAGCAGCATCTCCAACCCTGCAACATATTAAAAAGTATATGAAATCAAAAGTATAGCTTTACTAGCACGTAGTGTTAGCCAAAAGCATGATGTAGCCCTTTAGTCACTGGCAGTCAACCACATCAGAGCGCGGCCAAAGCCTCGGCATGCTGCTGTGTTTCATTCAGAGCCAAGTAACCTTTCAGTTTGTTATTTTTCTTTCTCCGTGCCAAAAGAGAACGGTATGCCACAGCAATCAAGCCATCGGCGGTTAACTGACCGTGCAGTCATGATGGTTAAACGTTCCAGGGTTTGTGAAGTATAATCTGTATCGGAGACAAATGTGCAAACAGGCTTCTATAAGCTGAGTAATAGTTGTCCTTTGTTTCAGTTTTTATGCAACAAAAAACTCCAGCAAACTTGGGAAATCACAAGATGTCTTTAAAGTCAGAAGAAGTTACAGAAAATCCTGTATTTTACAGATCTTTCATTTCTCAATATTCTCTCAATAAATCCCTGTTTCTCAGAATTAAGGCTGCTTTTAAAAAAGCTGTTTATTGGTAGAAATGGAATATATTTACCAAAGGTATGTTTTCATTAGTGTATAATATAATAATCATTGTGTTTTTGTTACTTTAGAGAGAGCTTTTTATATCTGCAGGGGGAACAGGTTGATTCTTGACAGTTGCAATCTGTAACTTTGCCTCTAGATGCCACTTAATTTGACATACATGTCTTAAAAAACCCTAGTAAGTATTCATTATTAAATTATTGTAATCTTGCCTGACAAATTTGATAGTTTTGCATGTGTAGCTGGCTAAAAGGCTCTCTATGCTAACCTTGAATTGCACTAAATTCATTTAAAGTATCATCAATTGAACATTGTTTTTTGTTTACATATTATTTAAAGCAAATTACAAAACCAAACAACCCTCTGGAATTATTCTAAAGTTACAGACCTTTAAAATAAAGTGTTATCCAATAATCTTTTAGTAGATCAGCACAGCATTAGCTGAAAACCGCAAATAACACTTAAATTAATAGCTGTAATTATAAATTAGTCTCCTAATACCTTTTGTACACAATGTACATGCTACAACTTGTCTTCAAAGTATTTTATTTATATTCCTGACATATCCCAAGAGAGATTTTAAAGTTCTCTACAAAATACTGTATTGTATACTGTTGTTATTGCAGAGTAATGCAATTTAAGTGCTTATTGATTAGAAAACTCTGCACTGCATTACATTACAATGATGATATTGTAACGTAGACAGAAATCAATGCCGACTCTGCATTCACTGTGATCGAACTCAAGGATGTTTTAAATAGTCTTAATTGTAATTAATGGAAACCAATGGCTCTCTGGAACAGTAGAAACTCATTCAAATGTCTAAAATGCATCAGCATATGTTATTTGTTTAGTAAAGTGGAAGTGAGTTGTAGTGAATGGGTTAAAATGTGCAAAACCACTGGTATGGTCCTTTTTTTTAAAGCATTTATGGGCTCAGCCTTGACATTCTTCAAATTAAACTACCTAATATTTTGTCCATTGGTCCTAATTTCTGATCCAACTATGGCACTAGTTCAGTCGTGGTTCTGGTTTGGACCAATTAAACATCCGATCTTTTTGTTTGGGAACCTTTTGCCCAATTAAAACGGTTTATTTTACTCTAAATCTCCCCGGCAGTGGGAAAAGTCACCCTTGCTGTTGCGGAATAGAGAAGAAGGTGCTCAGTCACAGTCATGACGGACTGATGTTTAAAACTGATCCCATCACCAGTGTATTTTTCCACTATGATGGGAAGGAGGACCACTCGAACATCTGGTCCAGTGGAGACAAACTGGCCGAGTACTGTTAGATTCCGCTGAGGTTGCAGAGCTGAAACACTAACGTATCATTTTTTTATGGTTTGTGGAGATTTACTCTGTGTCTCTCTGGTTTGTATTCTAACTTTCAGTTCTCTTTTATTCAATGTGTATTTTTACTGCTTGTAAGTTATCTTTGTTCCTTTTTGAGGACTGAAGCTGAGTTTGCTAAAGCTGCAGCCAGTTCTTTCACCACCAATCCAAAATTATATTTTATATACAATTTGTATCCAGCCTCATTCTCTCCCTCTTTGGACGAAGCTGCAAATAAGAAACAGTTGTCAGGACCGAGTCTCGAGATATTCACCACTTACTTCGTCAACATTTTAACTGGAGATTTGGTAGCGAATGAAAGCCAAGGCCCTCATGAAACAGTTACACAACAAAGTTCAAGAGCACGGCAGTGAACTGAAGGGAAGGGATTTTATGTTGTGCTAACTCAGACCTCCTCAAAGACCTGTGGTGACCTCAAGTCAGCTTTACATAAAAGGTTTACCAAGGTTGTGGGAAAGAAAACCCCATCCTGGAATCTTAAAAGTGTTTTGTTTTCGTGCTAGGGGAAGTTGTGTAATGTTAAAGAGACATGGCTTAAGAATAACATAGTTTTCTGATGGGTTAAGATAAGTAAAGCCTGGCTGCTAGTAGATCTATGCACAAAAAATAAAATAAAAATCAGCGTGATGTTAAAAATAACGGCTATATTTTGTCCATGAATGTTGTCTTTCAAACTAGTCTATGTTGACTTTCATGGATAAAACTGGTCACAAATTGACACACTTATCACAGTAAATCATCAAAAAACAAAGAAATAGTTGGAAAATATGCAGTTTTCCCCCATGAGTTGGATTAAAATATTGATATAAGCTGGTGTCAGGATGTGGTTAACGTAGCAAAAAGACTGGATGCCGGGAAAGTTAAGAGAAAAGAATCAGCTTCAAAACTAATTAGCCCATTTTATCAGAAATGTAACTGTGTCTTGGACATTGATGATGCCGTTACTTCCAGTCTTTATGCTAAGCTAATTGGCTCCTACGTTTTTCTCAAAATGTTGAGCTATTCACAAGCACAGCTGCCTTTAAATGATCAATTCTTACAGAGCTGTATGACTGAATGTGTCTAAAGTCCAACCATTTTTCTGTTTTTCTTTTAGAAAATTGACGCGCAAGCGATCGAGGAGTTCTACGGTCTGACATCGGACATTTCCAAGAACTCTGAGTCAGGATACATCCTGTTCTACCAGTCGAGAGACTGAACCAGCCAGCGGTAAATCCCCAACAGACTGTCACTCAACAGAGGGGGAGGCGCTTAAGGCTGCCACCGGCTCCGCCCAGTACGCTCACATAAGTATCCAGGCTTTTTTCCCTGCAGGCGGAGCTTTGCACTGGAGCGCCACTCGGATCGATTGAGACGTGTCCAGGTCGCATGCCAGCCTCCTGGATTACGACCGTTCAAATCCTCTGAGCCCACGCTGCAAAAAAAAAATAAAATAAAAAAAATAGCACCTTAACAAAACAAGATGGCTGAATCTATAACACTCGCTTTGCACTGGGGCATCAGCTGGGAAAGACCGAGTAACGCCAATCCAAGAGGCTGACATCGCTGTGTGCACAGCGATCCATTTTGGAGGTAAAAGCAGTTTGGGATTGTTGAGACGATGCAAAGTAACCAATCAACTGTTTCGGATGAGGCAACTTCTGATTGTAATCCTCCTCGTCATGGTAACCATCAGTGTCATCACAGTCTTCTTTAGCGTTTTTTTTCGTGTATATATTATACCGTGCTAAAACACATGGTACCATGCGTTCACCCCCTTAAAAAAAAATCATTCCGGAGACAGTGAAACTAATATCCGACAGCCTTGTTAGACGTTAAAACCACTGACACAACCTTTAGTGATCGAATAGCTTGAACGTGCACTTGGAGCGCAGCGCGGTGATGCCGTTGCGAGTTTGCAGTGTTTGTAACATGAAGTGGTGCTAATAACATAAAGTGTTAAAGGCAGTGTTAAATGAAAACCAGCCACCAGTGAGATGTTGATGAATCTGATGGAGGGGCTCATTATTTTAGTTTTTTACTGAAGAAAATCTTTATCTTAAATATTTAAAAAAACAACTGAAAATTGAGGAAATCTAGGTAAAAGTTTGATTTTACCATTTGAAATTTCTCTGTTAAAGCATGCTAATAATTTCATTGTTTTCCATTAATTGCAACGACCCTTAGAGCAGGAAATTACAACGTTTGGGATTTATAGGAACATAAATAAGTCTGGTTAAAAATCAGTTTGTCCCAATGTGCTCCTTTAAAAAAAAATAAAAATACAAATCTGCATGTTTTTCAGCAAAAAAAAAGGTAAAAACCAAAAATAATGAGCCGTACAGATCACCAACAACCTTGGTCCAGTTTTAAAACGAGTGAAAAGTGGCTGGTAAAAGTTTTAAAGTAACTGGTGTGTCGTGCCATTACGGGTTATGTTTGGTGCCACAGCAGAAAAACTTAAAAAGAGGGAAGACACTGAACAAAGAGCAGTCAGGTGTTTCAGCGTTTTTTTAAAGCCAGCTTTTTTGTGGTTTTGACAGCAAGCAAAGTCTCTCTTGCAGTTTGCTTTGAAAAGTTTGTGTTTTAACATTTCAGTTTTTTCTTAAATGCCAGAATATGCACATTTGTACCATTTTTAAAAGGGACACATACAGAGAAAAGTACTTTTTCTTTTCTTTAAGTCAGTTCTGAAATCCAAACTGTCACACTACGTACAGGTTGAATGTTTGTGTTTAGCATGTCTTGTCCCTTTGTTCATTATTAAAAGCTTTATTTCTGGACAGCAAATTCTGCTGAAGCTGGTTCAGCACACCTCATAATATCAACCACCAATCACACGCTGGCAAATCTCGACTCTGGCTTAAGTGTTTCTCCTGCAGCTGCAGCGTTGGCAGGGAGTCAGACCTTTTACATAACATGTTTTTCACTCCAGAACCTTAAATTGGAGCCGTCAGTAACGCTGAGTGATGCTAACGGTCTGCCGATGTGGAGCACGTCCACTGTCGGTCGACGACATGGTATATTTAATGCAGTAAGACTGCCTGGCGTGTTTGTCTGAGCAGTTTAAGATGGATTCCTTCTTTGTATTAAAAAACAAATTAACTTAGCACAATAGGAAAGGATCAGGATGGTAACAACTTCTGATTTAATGTTGACTCATCCTGTTTTAGGAATTTAAGATTGTTTTAAATCAGTATTTAAAAATTTAACATTTGCAGCTTCTCCAATGTGGGGCTGATTTTCTCTTATTGTGAATTCAAACCTTTTGAGGTTTTTCGAAATTTGAACAATAAATCAGTGAATATTGAAAATAATTAGTGGCAGCTGTATCGTAAATCCATTTAGTCAGCTGGTGAAAACTGGAAAAACTGGGAGGTAATGCAGAAACTTTTGTAGTAGCTATGAAGAAATATGATGACAAATCCTCCAGTATTGGGTTTTATGTGCTTCTGAACCTCTCCAACTATCATCTAGTCTATAAAATGTCCAAAAACAGAAGAAAATGCACATCTTAACTAACTGAAGGAGAATAAATTCAAATTGATTTATCCTACAAAAATGGTCCGCAACCAGAAAATATTAAGTTTACAGTGATAGAAAAAAGAGACAACAAAATCACATCCTCACATTTGAGAAGCTAGAGACAGTAAATGTTTATGTTGGATAAGTAACTTTATCAAATTAACAAAATAGTTGCAGAATAATTTTTCAGGGGATCGACTCATCACTTAATGGACTTTCGGCTCTATATGATTGCAAGGAAGAGTCAGATTTTTCTTCTGCTTCCTCCATTATGAACCACCATCAGAGCCACTCACTTTATGAGTGGGTATATCCTTTCACCCCTGGGGTAAAAGAGTGTAATTAATGCTTTCAAATGGGTTTTCATTGTGCTGAGGCAAAGAGAAACAGGAGCCATTTTAAAACCTGTACTCATTCTCTCTAACTCGAGCCTGCTGATGGGCAGCAACCTGCTTTTTTCACCTCTGTTGTTTTTTGTTTAACGCACAAAACAAACCAAATGTAGGACTTTTTGGTTTAATCGTATTTTTTGAAGTATGTTTTACACTGCCAAGTTCGTGAGGCTCCACCCCACTGGGCTGTCCCAGATTTAACAAGCAAGCTCACCCTGTCACTCTTTGTAACAGCTGTAGCAGATGGAAAATTAATGGAAACATGCTCTCCGTAGCCTTCAAGGTGTTTATATTCTACAGTAGTTGAGTGGCCTGGGCAGTGGGTCAAGTATTATCTGAATGTTAAAATGTACAGTAAAATAAAAATGGGGCTGCTGCTTGACCTGCAAAACACCACTTAGACACGTCTTAATCTGAAGTTGCTCTCTCTCTTGCTGAGACAAGAAAAAGCACTTTTAACAACATATTTTATTCTGAAATTCTTCCTTTAAAGTCTTTTATTTTGAACAAAAGTAATGGATGTCAGGCCCTAATTCAGGTTGGATATCCTGGGGTTTGCAGACAGTGTTTTCACGTTACAAAGTGATGTTGAGATAGTATTTGATTGGCCACTCATTGGCCTCCGACGTTGTATTGTGGTCCGACAAATGTTAAGCCAGCTTATGTTAGGGGCTATGTAATGTTAAAGCACTCCCAGCAAACCCAGCCATATCCAAGTTGACATGTCCTGTTTTTTATTTAGCAGAAATGTGTGTTCAAGTTCTCAAATGTCTCACTTGGCTTAAAGTTTCCAACACACCGTAAATGACAGAAGGAAAGGGAGCGACTTCAGATGACGCGTCTCAAACACTTCCCTTCATTCAGGTTGAGGCTTCAAAGTCAACACTATTTCCTGTCTCTGCTGCTCTTAAACTCAACTAATCTAAATGAACGGAAGATGTTTTGCGTGGTGTTGAATTTGTTTTGGGGGTCACTCCACTTCGTTTCCACCAGTACTTCCATTTCTGAAAATCAGAAAAGGTAATTTATGGTTGACAATGACTTGAAACGCAGATTATATCCAGGCACTAACAGAAACTGTGGACTCTTGTAAGAGTTGCTTTCATGATGTTTTCATATTTGAGGAAAAAGTCTATTTACTCACAGTATAAATAAACAAAAACAAGCACAACAGAGCATTATTTGGAGGATACAAGTCCACAGATTCAGTTTGGAGCTGGCTATGATTCTGTTTTTAATGAAATGCAGTTTTATGGAAATTATTGGTCCTCAAAACTGTAAATGTCTCTCATCAACAAAACTGGTTGAAATTATTGGCAAAAGAAAGTGATTGAAACCCGTGTTGAAACAAGGCTCTTTTTTTTATTTAAATACTATTAATATTATTATGAATGTTTATTTTATCTTCTTTTCTTAGATGTTTCACTTGTTTTTGATATATTTCACTAATTTTACTAGTCTACCATTCTTGAGTAGGCAGCTTTGGATATTTGAAGATTATTTTGGTTTAATTTGGGAGTATGTGACAAGAGATGTTGATGTGTACATAAATACAGATGTTATTATTGGAATATAAATATTTGCTTGCTTTAAATAATCAGCAGACCTAGATCAAAAATGTTAGTGGACGTTATATCTTTAAATACTTTTATTCTGGCAATGAATCAATACGCCTTGTGCTTAAAAAGTATCAAGCCCCACCTATCTGGCATCCCAGGCAGCCTAAACCAAACAGCCCAAAGCAAATTAGCTCATATGTAATCTGACTGATCACACTATAATAAACAGAAAACTACCTGATATCATTAAGATATACTTGCTTTGAAGTTCTCAATACAAGAAACTGCTGTGCAGAGAGTAACTGACCAAAAACTGTTCTTTGTATCATGGTGTTAAAGGAAAAATCCACATAATAATTCTGATTTAGTTTTTCCTGTGAATAACTAGTCAAATGTAGATGACATGGCCACAGATATTTACAGTGACATTTTGTTGATAATCTGTTTTATGTTGAAGAGCACTAGAAGAACTGTACTGGCTTCACAAAAAGCTTAAAAACTTAAATTTCAGTATCAAACTTAAAATGTCTTTTGTGCAGTTTGAAAATCGTTAACTTGGATGGTTGCATTGTAATTTTTGTAATAGTCCCACTAATAAGCTGCCTAGGCTGATAACTGCTGATATTATTTGATTTCAGATGTATTGGTGTTGCATATGTCCAAGTAATACAAAATTTAATTATAGTACAGAAATGCCAAAGATACATTTGAGATTGTTTCGAAACAGTGTTACATATTTTGTCCACCAGACAGCACTGAGGAGTTTAATTTTAAATCAAAAACCTAATCAAAGTCTTGATGACATTGCTTTCTGTTAATTTCTTTAATCTAAAATATGATGTCATCTGCAAAGAGTCCAGTTTATTTCTAGATTTTAAATCAACTTCAACCAATCAAACAACACAGAAATCAATGTGTGACTAGTGAAGAGGCAAGAAGACAAGTTTCTACACCAGAATGTGCAGAAAATAGGCCAAAACATTTAATTTTCTTTTACCCAACTAGTCTTACACATAAATATTCAATATATCAAGATTGTTATTAAGCTCCTGTTATTGATCAAAAGCAGCAATGCCTCTTTCCAGAAGGTTTTAGAAAGTATTATGAGGAAGTAAATGAGTTGGGTTGAGGTTGGAAAGCAGAAGCACCAACCCTTTGTCACAAAATAACTATTTAAATAACAAAAGCTGACATCTGCGGGTGGATTTTTCCTCTAACAGTATTAGTTGTTCTGTCCAGTCGTCCACATCACTCCCCGTTTTCAGACTCAACAAGAATGTAAATGTTTTGAACACAGTATGTGACTGGCGAACAGTGACTGAATGTGTCATTAACACACTGAGGTTGTACGTCACGACTAGTGTGCAGCAGTGGCAGCAGCCTCCACAGACACTAACAATTAATTATTTACATTGTAGTAAACTCAGAATCAGAACACATCTACACCTTCAGAAAATATTCAAGCTCCTTGATCTGTTATTATTTTGTAAATTTGTGACATTGAATTTAAACTTTAAGAAAGTAAGGTATGTTTTCTTTTGCCTCAATTTACATAAAATCTTCCATTATGGAGAGACAGCTGCAAACTGAGGGTAAAAAATCAAGGTGGTTGAGCCTTTTGTGGAAGGTCTGCTCTTCTTTTGGCACCAGTCTCAGACAGACTGAAGTGTTTTTACTTGTTTTTTGTGGCAGACATTTAATTGGCCATGAAACTGCACCGTCTCTCTGTGGCTTCTCAGCTCTTGCTGCGAACAGATCTGAAGTACAAAGAATTGAATCCTTCTCCTCTGAGTTATTTTGTGGGTGTTTTGTGGGGGCTGCTGCCGCTGCACATACTGCTGTCTGAAGTTCATTCTGAATACATGTAGATGCAGTGAAGTTTGGGAGTGACGGCTGGTTCTGATGGTGTCCAAACTGTTTGAAATAAAAGACAAACTGGTTTTGAAGATGGAATAATCTACATTGTCTCTTGTGTTTTATGTGGTTAAGACCTTATTTTTAAAGTTGACTTTGTTTAAACCTACTGCAAGATGTTTTCAACTGGTTATGAAACACTCAATACTGATGCCTTTAAATGACCTACATAAGCACAGAAGACCGCCAGCGAGAAGATTGGCTATTTCTGTGTAGTTATTCTTAAAGTCTGCCATCAGGTCGGATTTCCCTTGAAATCAATTAAACCAGGGGGTGGAAACCATACTGGTTTTGTACATAGGGGCTGTCAGAATCAACCAAAAAATTTAAGTTCCTTGTTGCTGCTTTAGTGTGAATAGCAGAAACTTAAAATAATCAAAGTTGAACTTGGAATAAATCACTAAACTGCAGCTGGAATTTGTTCCTAAAATGCGTACAACAGCATCATACATGAAGCAGAGGAGCTGGAGTATATTTTATCAGCCAATTAGAGTCCAATACTGTGACTGTTCATTATGCTATATTTGATAGTATACTATATTTTAATCCACACTGCACTATGAGTTTTATTTATTTGTTTACACTAGAAAGAAAATGACAATGAAACGCACAATTCATTATTAAAGAAGCAATAAAGAGAGTGATGTGGTTTGTCAGTTAAACCAAATGTGATTTTCAGTACAGTTAGTAAACTAATAGTCTAAATTTATAGGATTTATTATTCTTTAGTCATTATTCTTCTTTGATCACAATCTGTTGCTTGCTAGGTTAATATTGTGTTTCCTCCACTTCGGAAACTAAACCTAATCCCAGTGCAATGTGAAAAAGAAATGAAAAAAGTGAAAATTGCCACAAGCTGATTTGAAAAACAAAACATTCTTTACCTGCCACTTGTTGCAGTTTGACCGTCGTCTCATGACTTTCATCATTTCTGCCAAAGAAGTGCAAAGTTATTAGTACATTCAGTAAATTATATAATTGGGATTCACTAACAAATTCTAGATACATTTGAGTCGGGTCATAAGACAATAAGAGTCCTGGATCCTGGATAAACAACCAATCAGAGTCAAGAAAGATAGTTGATTGTTGTGTCTCATTTCCTTTGGGAAGGAGTCATTATCTCCCTCATGTACTACTGTCAGGATATAGTAAAGATTTCAGAAAGTTACCTACTGCAGCTCTAAAGTGAAACAACGTAATAAAACAAAAATCACAGCTCATAACTAACATCCACTGGATGGCCTTAAGGGCTTCTTTAAAAGGGTCACGAGTTCAAAGAAATGTCAGGAAGACACAGTATTAACTTACCAATGATTCTGGACTGATGCCGTTTCCAAGTTTCCTGCTAAAAGGTTTGTTATTATTTAAAGAGACTAAAAACTAAATTTCCTATGACAGACTGAAGAGGATTCAGACACTAGTAAGTCAAACAAAGAGACGCTACAGTTTATTTTTTTATCGTCTGATGTTTTCTGTCTGAATCAAACAAGGGAGACAAATGGCTGCTGTAAAAGTCTAAATAGTGAGATCATCTTCCCCTGGAGAGGTTTTTGGTCTTCTGCCTCACCTTATTATGTTTTTTTTTTTTAAAGTGGTGACGGTGTACGCTGACTCACTTCTCCCCCAGTACAGTCAACAATAAGCAACAATGACACAGAAGGCAGTTTGACATTTAATTCTCTGCAGGTAGGTGGTACAGTCTCTGGTTTAGGTCTCAACACACCTTGATGGATTTTACAATGATATAGAAAAAAAAATTTCTGACAAAAAGACAAAATATATCTTGTTTTCCCCACAAGGAATCCAAAAAGAGAAGATGATACATTCACCGGCTGAGGTGAAGGACGGACTCTGTACAACGGGTGTTGTTTGTGGTGAAGAAATACAATGTTAGGATGTGGGGAAAATCTCTGTACAACAATGGAAACATGGATCTCTACTCCAAACAGAGGCCAGAAACAAACATATGTACAGTTTCTAGTCGCTTGGCACTATTCCCAAACCTAATACATGTATCTCTAACATTATATGAGTTTATAGATGGGAGGAAAAGCTACTAGAGGGTTAAACGTAGAGCTGATGTGGTGAATGTCGCCCTCCTGTGGTTAAAGGAAGGTAACAATCCTTTAATGTAATAATATATTATGAAAGTCTGGATATATCACATGGCCACTGCAGAAGAAATGAAAGCCAGGTATTAACTCCTCTCAAGTCTAGTTAGTCCTAAATGACAGGGGGACACAGATGAATATTTTATCTCACACTGTAAAATCAGGCAACATGAAACTCGACAAGAGCCCCTCGTACTCTTGTCGGAGTTGAGCACCTGAACGCACCGTTAGTTTTTGACTAATTGTGGGAGAAGCAGCAGGTCCAGCCTGACAGTCTGATGGTCTAAAGAAACTTAATGGGCTGTGTCCTTCAGAGGATCCGGCCCCCTGAACTGGATCACTGCTATTGTTTCTTACTGGAGGTGCCACAAATGCAAACAAGTCAATACTAAAATCACACAGATGTACTTTACTGGGCACTGCATTTATTTGGTGATCTGCAGCTCAAAAGGCGTCTAGATTGAATCCAGTTAAAACCGAATCAGAATGCTTGAGATCAAAAGATTACAAACTAAACAGTTTATTGTGAGAGCCAACTTTGATATACTTAAAGTCACTCAGTATCCAATCTCTTCTAAATGCAATGTGATAAGACCTCCATATGACTTTAAAAAGAATTGGAAGAAAAACTGGCAAAAATGGTGTCTTTATTTAGCCAATGAGACAGATCTCTCATAATTACTGAATGTTATGTGTGATATTTTATTTTTACTTGAGGTAATTCTGCCTCAACTCAACTCAAGTTTCTCGTTTCCTGCTCCTTACTTGCTTTTTGTTCACTTTATAATGTGAAAAATGTTTATAAATAAAAGAAAAAATGCATTATTTGCAAAAAAATTTGATTAAAAATCACAAATTAAATGTAACAAATACATTATCTTTCCATACGTTGGTGATTGTTAAATAAAACTTCACTTGTTAAATAAAACTTCACTTAAACTACACGTCTAAAATGAGGATGTTCTGTAAATACACTATGAAAAATAAGCTTTTAAATGTAGTTTGAGCAATGTTTATATGGAAGCTGCATAAAAAAAACTAAATTTAGCACTGATTGAACCTAGATATCTCGATCTCTTTTGAACTGCAAATCACCTAATCAATACTCACCGAGTTGCACACAAAGACATTTGTCTGGCACTGATCCCTTTCAGGTGTTTGAATTCTAACAATTATTTCGAGCTGAACTTTAGTTGAATTGTAGATAAGAAGTGGCTTATTGCATGTTACAGAAAAACAACAGAAACCAAAGGGAGTCTGTTATGGTAATCAGTATAGATAAAGTGTTAGTGGAGTCCATGCAGCTAGAGTCAGTTCTAGGTAGTAAAGATGAGGGTTGCGTGTGTAAAATACATTATGTACATCGATATTATTACTGCATCTACTTCCAGATAATCTCATAGACAGATTCATTAAGTCTTTTTCTTCTTTCTCTGATGTCTCTGTCTGAGCAAGATGTGCTTAAAAGTCTTCATCACCAACTTTTTCCAACACCAATCAAAAATGTCTTTTAAAAAAAAAAAGTTTTTGAGCATTTTTCTCAAATTTTGTTCTCCATTTGTTGGGGTTAGGGTTAGGGTTCTTCATGTTTTCTGTGTCCCAAATACACATTCACACACATGCGTTCCAGAGTTGCTGAAAAAGTGGGAAATTCCAACTACTGATGGGAGAGCAGCAGGACACTTTCTTAAAGTTGAAAGTTTGAGTAGGAAATTTAGGATTCGTCTTGCGTTTATAATCCTAAAAAATACACTCAATGTAACAGGAACCAACTTTTCTGTGGATTTCTGACCTCCGACAGCCATCACACACACATAAACACACACTCATTCCCTTAATATTCCTCCTCTTCTCGCCGTTCATCATACCATCGTCTCCGAGCTCGACCCTTTCCCGGTGAAGAAGTCCCAGAAATTAGCAGCGGGTGACGGTTTGCTCTCCTCCTGCGGCGTCTGTCTCACCCAGATGCTGCTCTCCGTGGACCCGGTCAGACTGGAGCAGCTGCCGCTCCCGCCGCCGCCCAGGGTGAAGTTCAGCGCGGAGCCCAGCGGGCCCCTGCGGTCCTGGGTGTCGGGGTCCTGACCGTGGAGTCTGGTGGTGGAGCTGGAGGGGGAAGACGAGGAGGGCTGGGACAGGCTGAGCAGGTTGTGGTGGGAGTGGAACTGACGCATGTGGCGGATGGATTTACCAGGAGGCACTTCACCTGGAAGGTTGAAAACAGGAAAATGGTTCAAAACTGCACTTTTATGGTTTAAGTACCCTTCAGCAAGCCTTTTAATCCCCTTTCCTTCAGGGGAAACATAAAATGATCTGCTTTTGCCCTTTTTATCTGGCAGATAAAATGAAAAAATAAATTCTAAATCATTCATAAAGTGCTAAAACAGTGGAAAATGGTGGAAAATTGTTTTTACTTTCTGATATATATATATATATTTTTAAAGTATAAAATCTACAAATTCTCATTTGTGACTTTATTAAAAACTAGAAAAACAAGTAAAAAACAAACCATTGTTGGTCAAATGAAGGTCAAAAATACAAAAACATGTCCATATAGGAACATTAACAGTACTTAATGTTATAACGTTCACTGTTACAACCTCTCCAACTTTCTATCTGTCACAACTAGGTGGTGCTGTGGTCACATTTATCATTCCAACACGTTACAGCGTGAGAGTCAATGTTCTGTCAACAAGAAATATTAATTTGATTTTAAAGATGCTTTTAGTGTACCGTAGTAACACTAAACATCGCTGTAGTGAAGTGATGTACAGTTAAGACTTTGAAGAAGATTGTTTGTATTCTCTATTCTCTAATTTCTAATTTTTATTTAAAAAATAAGCAATAAGATACAATTCTTATAAAACCAACTTTAGTGCAGTAATGAAATATTTTTACTAAGTTACATCTCACCTCTGGCTTTTTATTTCCCAACATAAAAGTATAAATGTCCTCTTCATGCATTGTAGGTAAAAAAATATATATATCCTGGTGGGAGAATACTGTCTAAAGAAAGCGGAATCGACCTAAAAAAGGTTTGTTTTTTTTTAACGTCTAAAGATTGCTTAGATCTCTAAATGTAGTCCAACATTAGGACATTTGACAGCTTAATGTCACATGAAGGACATTGCTCATTGTCCCCAGACTCTGTTTGTCCTTGACGCAGCGTTTATGAGAAAGGATACTCAACTTTTCACTTCCCTCCTCGTCATTTTGGAGAAAGATGGCTGATTGTTCAGTCTCATTCCCAGCTCGCAAAATACCGACGCTTGACGTGGGAGCACACCCACTGCCAAAAGCCAAAGTGTCGGTATTTGACAACCTGGGAATGAACTATGATTTTTTTCTCCAGAATGACTCACCCCACCTTTAAGCTCTATTAGCTATGGAAGAATTAAACTAAATTATTTTGTTAAAGCATACAAAACATACTGATACATATTGAGCCTTTAAAAATCATGTAATGTGTAACTTCAAATGATTAAATGTCAATCAAATAACATGACCTCTGTAGCCTCGAAACGGCCAGAATAAAATGCCCCAGAATGAGTACCGTATCTCGTTTCCTGTCGCTTCCTGTTCTGGTTCAGTTTGAGCACGTTGAGGAAGACCTCGCTGGTCAAGCTGCCCTCACCACCGCTACCGTCAGGTGGGAAAAGCGGCGATGGGGGCTCCAGTGGGGACAGACTCCCGCTGGAGGCTCCCACAGAGTCCAGAGATGCCCCTGTATCCCGACGACCCCCCGACTCGCTGCTGCTCTCCACCGTTATGTGACTGCTGCTGTGAGGGAAACACACATGATGTAACATCAGTAGTTTGTTTAAACACAGAAAGTAAAGAAGACTTGGGACTTGGCTGTCGTGGTTACCCGAGTTTCCTACGCAGCAGATAGTCGATGATGTCCGGGTCAGTCTGGATCAGACTCATCAGGACCTCCTGCTGCAGCTCTGCAGAAACCTGGAGGGTTTTTTTTGTACAATTGATTAACTTTTTATATTTTAATAAATGTTAATGAATGTAATGCAATCAAATGCAGAAAAGTGTCAAATATTTTTATGAACAAATCTTATTATTACAGACATAATATGAAAACTGTTTTGGATGTGTTTTTTGGATCTGAAGTAATCAGAGAAACAAGCTGAGCTNNTTTGGGAGAATGTTTAATAGTTTTTTTCCATTGTTTCTGGAAAGAAGACTGCTGTTGAGTATGACCCTTAAATACTAGTAACACCTCTGATCCTAGAAGCTCTTCCTGCTTTATTCATAGACAGTTTGAATATCTCCGTCTCTGCCGTACCGTGAAGAGCCTCCTGTAGTTCTGTATGAGCACCAAGGTCACGCTGATGATCGCCGTGCTGTCCTCAATCCCCATGGCGTAGATCTGAGGACTCGCATCTCCTCGTTCCCTCTGCAGCAGGTTGGGCCCGAAGATCACCGCCAGGTTCGCAGCCGTCATCTTGTTCCCGGAGATCTGGATTACACAGAGGAGGAGGAGGAGGGAGGTTTGTGTATCGACCTTTTCAAGGTAGATCGATCAGTGGTTATTGATTGAGCCTACCTCCTCGTCATTTGTTCCTATGCTGTCCTGGGCGAAGCTCTGCACGGTGTGTAACAGGCTGAGGAGTCGCAGCAGGGTGTCACAGTTACAGGGAGGGAGCAGGTAGAGAAGGTGCTGCAGGTACTGAAGCTGGTCTGCTCCCCTCAGCACTGCAGGAAGGAGGCACAGAGAGGACGGTTAGTACAGGTGTGACTGCTGTTAACGGCTGTGTGTGTGTGTGTGCGTGAATGTACAGTTGGCGTGCAGGAAGGCCGGGTAGAGCTCTCTGGGCAGCAGAGGATCAGGCATGTCTCTGAGAAACTCTTTGAGCAGCGCCGCCACGTCATGGACGCTGTGCTCCTCATCCAGCTGGACGTCCACCCCCACGTCAAAGTCCTCCCTCAGCTGAGGAAAAGACACACACACACCTTACCCTGATGGACATGATTTCTCCAAAACAGGATATCACACTTTTATTATCAACTTTTCACATGAAGATTATTTTTAGATTCCAGCGTACAGTGAAGACTGACAAGAATATCATTTTTCATACCCTTCCTGTCCAGTGAAAACCATGTACCTCCAAATTTGGCGATTCTGAATTTCTTTGATAAACTGAAGGATTAACTGTGCCTGTATCGGTAGAGAAAATTCTCCTACTTCTTAAGATAAACTATTTAAAGTCTTCTTGGAATATCTTGAAAATGCATTGTTATAAAGCTGAAAAACAGGCTATTTTTCTTATGAAAGGTTGACTTTAGAGCTACCGAGTTCTCACAGAACTGTGATCTTGCACAATATGATGCATTGCTGTAGATTAAACTACCCAACAGAATATAAAGTAGTTAAAATGATCTCAAACTTAAACATCTACAGCAGTAAAATGCAACATACACACTAATGCAGCAGTAATTAAACTTTCATATAAAATAGAAAAACTGACACCATTTTACTGCAGGATGAATAGTTTTACTTTAGGTACATTTGAGCTGATTATACTTGGATAAATCCATTTTGTTGTGACTCTGGCGGCCCCTGTGGACAAGAGCGGTAGTGTTTCTACTGCTTCATTTCATTGAATTCAAGGGGAACCCAACTGAATTCGACCCGGCGACAGGAAAGCACTATTCACAAACAGCCAATCTTCTTCCTGATGGTCTTGTATGTATATATGTTTCAGTATTAAATTGTTAAATTAAATTGAGTTTCATAACCAAGTAAAATTCCTTGTTATAGGTTTATTCAAGGTTTATAAGGTTTTAATGTCCTTTCACCACTGGACAACATTTTATTCAGCTGAAGAAAATGTCCTCACCTGTCTCACTCTTTTCTTAGAGCTACCAACTCGGAAAATCCCCACAGTCTGAAGGCCTGGGGACACAAAATGGAGCACAAAAGTGTCTTGTCAAGTAGAAGTTTAATTTATCTTCATTCAATCTAAACATTTTAATTAAATATTTCAAGTTTTCAGCTTCAAGTTGAAAGTTTGTTTGATTTGGGGACTCCAAATGGCGCCAGTGAGATATAACTTGTGTCTCACCGAGGTTCTCGATGTGACTGCAGCACCTCTCCAGCACCCGAGGCACCTGTCTGTAGATGGGGTTGAGGCTGAGCTTGGTCTGCGTCCTCCCATCTGCTGAGTGGCTGCCGCCCGGTGACTTCTTCTGCTCCAGCTCGGCCGGGTGAGAGAGCTGCAGCGCCTCCAGCAGGCGAGACTGACTGTCTACAAGGTCAGAGATGGAGTCCACTGACAGACCGCCCTGCAGGGGGGAAGGGGAGAGACTTGATATACACTGCAAGAAAGGAATATCAAGAAAGTAAAAAAAAGCCTTGTTTCTGGGAAATGAGTCTTACTTTCTGCCTAAAGAGAAACATGATCTTGTCAGGCATGTTTTGCATTAGGAGAGTAATCTTGTTTTAAGAAACTATATCTAATTTTATCTTAATAAGATGTTACAGCTCATACTGAGCTCGATTTAACAAGATAAAACAAGATTATTTTCCTTATTTAAAGAGTAAGACCACTGGCATGACTTCTCAATTTAAGAGAAAGTCGTCTAGTTTTTCATTGTTTTAATAAAAAATGCTGTCATTATTGGCGTTTCAAGAAACTGTCTTATTGTAAGATTCTTTTCTGCTTATTTTTATGTTAGATTAAAGGCACAAATTCTTAATTTCAGCTCAATAAAGTGACCAAAATACTTATTTTAAGAAAGTCTCTTATATAACTGAGTTTTCATATTGTAATAAGCCCAACTTGCTATAATTGTGGACCATCACAGTCTTATAATAGTATAAATAAGTTATTCTTCAAGTCAAATATCTTTCATGCATAAATGTTTGAGTATATAAACTTAAACGCTTTAAGACAACTGTGTTGGGTCAGGTTTTATAGTGTTAATAAAGAGTTTCCAAAGGGGGATGAGAAAAAGAGAAAGAGATACTAAAATCCACTTGTGTGTGTTAGGGATAGACGTCAAGGCACACAAGGTGACAGGAGAAAAAGAGGGAAAAGTTTAGAGAGAAGAGAAGAGAGCAACACTGACAGGGGAAAATGGAAAGAACATCTTAAGATTGATGCCAGCAAAACAGAGGAGTCAATTTTTATCACTCATACTGACGTTGCCGTCCAATAAATATCTGAGGAGCTGAAAACGAATACCGCAGAAATATAAATCACTTGTCTACAAGCTGCAAATTGTTTCTGGAGGAACGTCAAGTGTCGGAGGAATTTTCAGCAGCACTTCAGTCCAGCAGCCGAAAGGCACTGGAGAAATCAGAGAATATTTATCCCATGTGAACGGTGGTGTATAAAAAGTGTAAATGCTCTAAGTTTTGTGTCTTTTAAAGCTTTTGAAACAGAGTATTTCAAGGAAAACTGACTTTCTTGAAGAAAGGGAGGGTGACACATAGTTTTTTATTTAAAGGGGAACTTGGCAACTCTAGGCATTTCTTCGCTGGTTTTCATTTTTGTCATGTTTTCTCAACGAGCTCCCCTACAGCTCCTGGGATGTGTATTTCACAACACGTCGTAAAAACAACCTCACTTGCGGCACCCCTCCTCCCCCTTTCTACCGCTGCTGATGTGGCCCTTTTTTTCGCTGGCAACTTTTTCGCGTGAGCAAATCTACCGAGGTGGCCTAATACATTATACACTAAGCCGATTATTGAGGGCGCCGTGTGCGGTTTATGGTGGAATTTTAACGTAAAAGACCGTTCTTCTTCTTGCTCGTTCTCGCTCGTTCTCGCTTCCGCGGTACCTTCCTATTCCAATCTTACCCGTGACGGTAGTCCAAAGTTCTGCAAGGCTTGGTTTTTCGCCTCGGGTCGCATCGGGCGTCGCCCACGAGGGAGGTTGGAGGGTCACCATTTTCACCAGAACAGGCCATTTAACCATCCAAATGATTTCTAAACGGGTTTATTAAGCTGAAAAAGTTGCCAAGTTCCCCTTTAAAGTTAGCTACGAGGAATTTTCCATTTAGTTGATTCTGGCGGCCCCTGTGGACAAAACCGGTTCTGTTTCCGCCACCTTGTTTCCTTGATTTTGAGGAGGATGGCAGGCATTAAGAATAACTATATAAATAGGCATCAGTATTACATTGACTGTTTCATAGCCAAAAAACACCAACAATCGCTTGCTCCAGCTTCAAATTTGAAGTATTTTCTGCTTTTCTTTGTCATTTATATCAAACTAAAACAATATCTTTGGTTTCAGGACTATTAGACACAGAAAATAAGGCATTTAAAGATGTCTCCTTGGGTGTAGATTGTAATGGGTTGTTTTTTTTAGTATTTCCTGACATCTTATAGACCAAATAATGAAATAATTGCAGCCCTACAGTAATTAGAGCACAAGAAATCAATGTACTTTTAACATTTCAGTGATAAAACACGTTTGGTGAAAGCAAAAAGTTTTAAACAAAGATTTAACATTTGATTTCTTACATGTTTGAGCAACTTTGTATGTGTAAGTAGCTTTTCCATTTCCTTAAATAGCTGCATTTTGGTGTGTAGTGAGGACACAGCCCTCCATCAATCTCTTTCCTAGCCCAAGTAAACGAGTTCTGGCCTCACACTCGCAGAAACTTCTTCCTCGTTCTTCTCTTCTACTATTCATCTTGTTCCAGCCATTAATTTCAACCTTTACTCCTACTGTGTAAGCTATCTGTCACAGCACGGGACACGAGGCAGTGACAGCGCCACCGCAGCACCGTCAGCCTCATCTGTCAAACTGAAGATCTCCAGCTGACTGCGTGTGTGAGTGTGTGTGTGTATGTCGTCAGATATGTAAACAGTGAGCTTCTACAGTCCAGACAGCAGTAAGAGGGTGAGTCAGAGTCCCATTTAGGTTGAGACAGATGGGAAAACTTTTTTTTTAAACTGCTTTTACTGACCAACTACTTCTGTTCTACCTTTACAGTTAGTTTCGTTGAAATACTGTATTTTTAAATTAGTAATTTTACTTTTACCTAAATGTAGTAGTGCTGTCTCTATATGACCTATATAAACAAACAAGGTTATCAGTGAAAATATATTTCTTTATAGTTATTCTTTATGTCTGCCACCGGGTCGGATTTTCCTTGAAATCAATGAAACAGTGATGGAAACACTACCACTTTTGTCCACAGGGGGCGCCAGAATCAACACAAACTGAAAGTTCCTCGTAGCTGCTTTAAGTACACATAAAAATGTCCCTTTAAAATGTGTGGGAATGGAACGAAAGAAAGGAGCCAAATGAGCGGCTGCATTAGAGAAGAAGCAGCTGGTGAGTCAGCGGCGGAGCTCCAGAGAGGGGACGACTCGGAAAACACATATAGTGAGTTCACTGTCAGGGGTGGCGAGTAGCGCAGTCACAACCGGGCCAAGGCTATGCACTAAAGTTTAAGAATGATGCCATTATGGGTTACATTACTGCACCTGTAAAAAATATCCCTTGATCAATCACTGATTTAATGCACCACCCAGCGAGCATACTATGACCCAAATCAAACACACCTAAGATGTTGTGTGACTGACCCTCGCTGTCCACCATACCTATCATGACGTCAGGGAATCAAATCAAAGCAGCTTAGTGCTATTCGGTGCTTTCTGCACAATGTCGTGTTGTTTTTTGCCATAAGAAACATTTGCGTCAATAGAAATGTGGCGACACATTCCTGGTGTTAGACAAAAGTCACGGACATTGGCGTTCTGGCTGGAAAATTTGATCAGTTTCCCCGACTTTGGTGGATTTTGGAGCCTGTGCACAGCCTCATTCAGTGGTTTGAAAACCTTCAGGAGCTCAGCGGGACAGAGAGGCTGAGTGGACTGGTTATAATGGGACAGAGAGACAGAATATCTTTGATGTTTAGTTCGATAACACAAGCAGTTTGATGAAAAATGATTGTTATTTTGATTTATACTGAATTCATCATTCACGAAGAAAATCATTGTTTGCTGCCTGCCAATACACTGACATTATTATTTCTGTCGGCCTCGTGTTTACGTCAGAGACCGATTCTTACGAGCTGCACTTGATAGCTGGTTCAGATTACTGTCCTCTGTGGCTGTGATCACTCTCATTACAGGCTCAACATAACAACTGTTTCCTGATCAGTGTGGAGACGATTACAGGGTGTGATGGCCTCAAGCAGAGAGGGTTCACACACAGAAAAGCAAACACACACACAGCATTTTTCATACAAACAAATAGAAGAATTCGTTGTGAAAATGTTTACAGCTGGAGATGCAGTCAGAGATTAGTGAGCTGCACTGTGGAGGCCTTCATTACAGGACACACACCCACCCACCCACACACACACACACACCCACCCACACACGTTCCAGTTTTCCAGTTTTTACTTTACAGTTTAGAATTTTGTTCCCTCAAACTGATTCAAATCTCTCTTTAAAAACACACATGGAAGCACACAAAACAAATAACTTCCACTTTCCACTTACATGTGGAATTTGATAGAAACAAGGAAGAAATTCAAGATTGCACTTTGTTGCACTTGGAGCAAGAAAAGAAGTAAAAGTTCACCGATCCGTCAGTCACAGTATCAACATTTACCATTTAAATGGTGGTTAAGACATCTGTGTTTAAAATTAATAATGAAATAATAATAATAATAATAAAAAAAATGCACAATAGCAGGATAAATAGAGATCTTACGTATTAATTATTTGCTTGTTACTACTAATTGACTTCCCAGATTCACTGACTTACAACTGAGAATTTATTTACATTCTTCTTTATGGGCTGAGAAAGTTTATGAAAATCTTATAATTTGTAAAAGTAAAATGGTTCCTCGAGATAAAAAGAAAGTTTGTCTCACCCTCCTCTGTCCTCGGCCAGTGTTATCCAGAAACGTAGGCGACAGCGGTTTGTTCTGCATCTCAAAAATGGGCGCCGGTGCCACCGAGTTTGCAGACGGCGAGCAGGGACCTCCGCCCGTGATTGACGAGGAGCAGACCAGCGGCTTGTTCCCGTTAAAGAACTGCCTCTTCTCGGCCCGGAAGCGCAGGATGCTGGCCTCCAGGTCCAAACAGTCTCGCCTGCTCTCCTTCAGGGCGTCCTGCCGCCGCTTGTAGGCCCGGTCATTGGCAATGACCTGGGAGAGCGGGATGCCGAACGCCATGGGGTTCGATTCTGAGGGAGGAGAGGATGGGACAGGAGAAGTTATTTCATCTTTTTTTCAGGTTTCTGATTTTGAGACAATCAAAAACAAATTAGAAACGAATCATCACTCAACTCTGCAGTTCCTTTCAGCTCTGTGGAGACTTTTAGCCTCTATTAGCTCATTGTTTTGGTTTTGCAGCCCACACATTTACTGTTGTGTTCAGCCTTATATCGCTACTTTAATTGACCTACATTTCCAGCCGACACAGGCAGCTATTTTAAGCAAAAACAAAGCTCTGATTAAGCCACTGTACGCTACATGCCAATAGACCAAGTTAGCATCTAGCTAGTGAACATATTAGAGCATTTAGCAGCTAAAGCGATATTTTGGAGACACAAACAGAGGTAAAAGAAGAGTGAATATTGGACTTATTGGACAGTAATGATGTTCCTTTGTGTCTGCTAGATGTATAAAACTGGAAGCTATTTGCCAATACTCAAAAAAGTGCTACTATGTAAACGTTGTGTTTTCAATATGCTCCACATTGACCAAAACAAATTCAGTTCATGCAGCTTTAATAGGATTTAATGCCACAACCTCTCTGTTACTAAACTTGTGTCTCAACCAGCAAATTAGTGGAGGATTTCTGAGCTACAGCAGCTCTCACACAGAGTAATTAGATATGGAGTTCAGATGAGAACATCAACTGGATCACAATGTTCACCAAGGTCATGATAATAAACACGGTGCTTTACCTCAACCTGAGGAACAACATGATAAAAGAAAAAGAAAACAAGGAAGAGTGTGTGGTCAAGAAAAAGTGAAAGCTGCAAAATCCATCTCCTGACACCGGCTGGGAGCCAGTTCCAGTCTGGAAAGCTACACTTGATCAGCTATGTAATGGAATAAAAAAAAAAGACAACACCAAAATATCAAGAGATGTGTTTTTAATGACAGTGTTGTGATATAGAAACAGTGTGTTGTTTGATGCCCTTCAAAACAATACCAGTACAGTGGCTGTCCAGTGTTCGTAAACTCTGCACAAATCTGGCCTTCATGCTAGAAGAATGTGCACAGTATCACCCTGAGACTCTTTATTACAAACTGTTGCCTGATATGGCTGAGAGACTCTAAATCCTTCAAAGAATGATTTATACTCGGGTGAAAAAAATCCACTTATTTGGTGTTACAAAAACTGTGTGGGATGCAGTTTTTTCAGACTCACATTGTCGCCAAATCCTGTATCTTTTTTGGTGAACCATGAGGCTACAACATTGAAAAACATGAAAAAAGATAACGGAAGAAACAGATGGGAACGATGTCAGTATTAGCATTTTTAAATATTGCTTAAATGTTTCTGGTGTCAGTGAACTTTATATTTATTTCATGCAATCTGAGGTGTCTGTTTTAATGTCATTAGCCAACTTCATCATGTTGCAGTGCTGCAGGTAGCTCTTTACTCTCTTGTCCGATGTCATAATGTTTCTGCCAACCATAAAGGATGTTCCAACCTGATACTGGCCAAAATCACCTTTGGCTTTTGTATTTATTTCTTCAAGGGAGTAGAATATTTGTTTCACAGTTTGAGCATGATGTTTAGCAAAGTGCATCCATACATACTGTATGTATTATTAATTGATTATTTGTTCTAGGGAGAAAGATGTATTGGCTGATACTCAAGGTTGCATCATCTGTATCAGACATGAAAAAGTTGTATCAAGCCATCCCTACTAATCATGTAATGTTCTGTTTTTTGCATGCATGTAGGTATAAAGTACATTTGAAAAACAATTAATTGAAATGAAACTGAAGCATAATACAGAGACTAGGAGAATGAAGGACAGCTGAGTTTAGAGTAGTGAGCAGATAATGACTGGGAAAAGCTTATAAGAGATTTAAGACTGATGTCATGGTTATATGTCATGATGAAATGTATGTGAAAGCTTTTCAACTTTTTAACGCAATGATTGCACAGCCCCCCACAGGAGAGATTAGAAGTTCAAGTAGATGAGCGGGATAAGAATAGACAGAATGGATGTAGAGAGCAGGCAAGAGAGGGATAAACAGGTAATCCTGTTAGAGCAGCCACAGCCACAAACCAGACATCACACTCAGATTGATACAGGCTTATTGAAGCGCCGGCGTTACAGGCTACAGGTAAACGCAACCTGAGTGAGGTCACTGTCATGGCAGGAGTTTCATGGTCAGCAGCTCGGCTAAAACTGCAAATCCTTTGCTGTGCAACTTCACATGACCACAACAGTTGGCACAACAAGATCCAGCTCTAGAGGTGAAATAAGAGCATTAAGAACAATGAAAACAATGGCTTGGTTTAAAGAGTAATAAAGCAACAGTCTGCGAGTTGATTGGAGTTTTTTTGCAAAAGAAAACAGCACATCATCCGCAAAAGTTTGTGAATTATTAAAACTATGAGATGGCAAAATGTTGATTTAAATTGATTAAATAGATTAAATAATACCCTTTTGCGAAACATCCCTAATGTCAGACAGAACCTCACTGAATCACGCTGTCAGTTATTGCAATTTGATATTTAGAAATAAAGAAAACTCACTGGATAAATTTCCAATCTATAAAAGTATGCTTTGTCTATTTACCGATGACTAAAAGTAATTTTCTTAAAAAACAAGTTAGAAAAAAATCTACCAGACAGCTTGTTCCCAGAATAAATAACCTGTTTCAAGATAAAATGAGGCAGATTGATTGACTGAACTAATATCAAGAAAAATGAAGAAGAAAAACAAGTTTGGAATCTAGTTATAATTATCTCAGAGCAGTTGCATAGTTTTGTACCTTAAAAGACTTTGGGTCTTTATAGAACAAATATTTTGCCTTTTGCCTTCAGGACATCAGCCACAGAATACCTCTAAAAAAGGATCTTGATAAATAACATTTCATCAGGGAGGATGTTTGCCAGTTCGCACTCCCCGAGCGGCCAGTTGAAGGACGTGCCGTCCAACGACTGATACATCCTGCCAACCCTGGGTGTAAAGTGACTGCTCCACTGTACCGCACCTAAAATACACACTGATGTTACAGAAGGCTAGTGAGGCATTAGAGCTCACTCTGCATGTGTCATTCACGTGCACGAAACAGAAAAAAACATCTATACTTACACGCTCACATTCACAGAGTCGTTATCGGATTGTTTGAATGAAGACACATGGACAGCTAACATACACACATGTGCACAGTCACACCCGGTAAGAAATTTCCCAAGCAGGTCAGACAGCCATGGCAGACTGGCAGGATGCCACGTAAAGTCTTAAAATGTATGGGATTGACTCAGCTTGAAATAACTCTCAGGTTGTGTGAGGAGTTTATTCAACGCTTACACAGCAACATGAACATATCATTCGTAGGTCAGCAGAGAAATACTGGAAAATGCAATATTCAGAAAAGAAAACTTCAATTTTAAGTTATATACTGCTTTTCAAAACTGTACAACTCAAAGTTGAAGGAATATTTTGAATGTCTTCCTCCATTTTTACTACCAAGATCTTCCTGTTTTGTGATACCCTGTCAAAGCAGTTGTAAAGCTCTGCCATGGTATCCACATGTCTCTAAAAAGCTGGTAAATAATCTTCTTGTATTCCAGACAGATCATAGCCAAAACTATAAAATAGTTTAGGGAATTAGGGAATTGGCAGAGTTTAGGGAATGTTTTCTCTTAAGGATTTAATCATTTCAACACCAAATTGCAGTCCAAGATTGAGCTTAGAGCTAACTTGTATCTGAGATGCAATTTCTTGTTTTCCAAAAGGCAAATTCGTCACTAAAACCTTTATCCAAGTTTTTGGTTTCTCTACAACCCCTTTTTTAAGGTTTCTGCTGCTTGTTTTGAGGCTGATTTGACCAGCCCTCCACTACATGTGCCTACTTCAGGTGCCAGGCTCACAGATAAGCTCCTTGACAGGTGCCTTGTTGGCCAAGCGCCAGTTAGCATTAGCTTGTAGCCACTGGTACAAGCTAACAGTCACTGGCTTGCTAAAAAAGGCTGCAAGCTAAGTTTTAACTGGCTGTTGGTAATGGCAGATGAGAGATAATGGTTTATAAGCATGTTATCAATCTGGTAGAGAATGATATCAAAAGCTACTTTCTCTGTTAATACAGTTTCTGAACACTGTTCCAAACACTCAGGCTACCATTGTTATCACCATTATTTGTGCTTGTGTTTAGTTATTTATGTTTTCCAATTACTCTTGCAGACTCAAACAGCTTGCTAGCCCTTAACCTCTTCCTTTTAGCACAGATCTTTTTCTCGTTCTTCTCATGCACATTGTTGGTCCTTCTAGTTAGGAAGTTAAACTACATGCTTTAATGTCCATAAATATAAAAAAAAAATGTCTACTTATAGCTGTAGTATTCAGAGCCTACTAGTGGTCAGTGAGCTACGTTCAGCACTGGTAACTCCGCCAAGAAAGTTCCTGGTATTTTGGAAAATACTACCGCCCCCAGCGCTGGGACTTGGCACCAAGATCAGAGACTGAGGTACTGAATTTAATCCCTAATTTCCTTGGTCAAAACACAGTCAAGATCTGAAAATGGCCTCTGGAAAAGTTCCTGCGGAGTCTAAATGCCAATCTGGATGATATTTGTTGTATTAGGACAAGAATTAGTTTTGTGTTGTAATTGTTTCAGTATGTGGTTTAAGATGAAAACATGTTTGCTTTTTCACTCTTCAGGAACTTGCCATTGGATGACTCAACAGCAGTAATTACCACATTTACATCTTATCAACATCAGTGGCCGTTTGCCATTTTTCCACCATATTTTGAGTGCAGATATTTAATAACAGTAATCCAACTTCCTTGCCGCTTATTGAGGGAGAAATCATGATGGACACTTTGGCATTACACCCTGTGTAATCTGGTACGTTTCAAACAAACACAACGTCCCCTGCCAACAAGAACTGGCCCCATCCATTGAGATGTCATCTGTTAATGTGTCTTGTTCACTGCACTTAATGGCCCTGTTTGATCAGTAAGCCCGTGCTTATTCCTCAGTCCTGACGTCTGTTGCCAGGAACAGCCAAGCTGACCACTCCATGCCGCTGCCTCCTGACATTTGGCCATGTTTTCTGGCATCGAATGCCAACTACGACAGTGCTAGCTGTACTTGAGGTGTTTAAAGTAAATAGTTGATGATTAAATAGCAATTTAACAGTTGGCTGTGGCAGCTTGGAAGTCTTGGATAACACTTCTCAGAGCCAGGCAGTGTAGCTAACGGAGGTCTGAAATGATAACACATATATTATATGTACACATAAATATAGGCCTAATATACTCCTTTCTATTTTACTTTAATATGATTCTTTTTTGTTCTGTAAAATATTCATGCAAATGCAATTAAAACCATTAACCAAAGAAAGAACTGTTGTTTTTGGGCAAATATTTTTAAATAAAAGAGGATTTAGTAGGCTATTTCTCTACCAGTGTTACATTTCTGACAGTAAGAATAAATCTTTGTGTTTAAACATTGATGTAAATAAATATGAAAAAAACATTTTTTTACCCCTTTTTACTTTTTCGCACTTAAATACTTCTTTTTTCTGTTTCTCATTTTATTTAGATATCACCTGTCTATGATTTCCTCATGACTCCAATACCACATGCACAATTGTAAGGACTATATGAACTTTAGCACTGATTGTACAAATGTACAAGAGAAACATATCGGCTCAATAAAAGATATGTTAGAAATAGAAATGTTGACAGTTGACAGTGAAATTAAAATGTAAAAACCTTTTGAACTCTTTAGAGGCTAACTTTAAGTCAAACATTTGTTTGAGGTTTAAGGCACCTTAAAACTGGCAAAAATTTAAGCTTTACATTTGTTTTTACACTCCATTTGAATTATTTACATAAGACTGTAATTGTTGATGTATTTTGTCTTATAGGTTTTAGGTTGTGAGGCACAGGGGGAATATAGACTCAGGACCTCTGTATTTCTGAAACATGAAGTGGAGAACTCACTCATGCCAACTGACATTCCTTAATATTTACCAAAAGTCGTATTTAATTTTTGACAGCCCTGTTTAGCTCACCACATTTAGCATTTCATTGATGAGACCACTTTGGACACGTCCTGAGTTAACGGTAAAACAAACACTCTAAAACTCAGACAGGAAGACCGCTGTGTGTGTCGGACTCGTAAAGCCTTATTGCTCAAGAATTTCACTACTTTTCCTTCTTTAGTCCCCAAGTCATCGTCTGTTACTGGAAGACTAAAGAAGATATATTTAGATGCTGCTCAGTACTCATTACTATTTCTCCTTCACCACACCAGCAGCTGGATGATAGTATTGGTCCCTCAAGGATCTGTATTTATGTAACAGGATGTCCTCTGTGTAAACCCGACTGAAACAACACAGAAGCAAACTATAGGAAGCTCTGTAACTTCTATTTAACCTTTTCCTGAAAGTAATGTATAAAAAGAGCAGGATGGAGGCCAAAGGAGAAAGAGAAATGCAAAACACTACCAGTTGGTTGGTCTAATGGCGTCTGAGAGCCCCTTTCATGCCCAGTTCATGCAGACGTACAGAAAGACGTACAAAAAAAGCAGGTAGAAACTGTATTATTTTTTTTTAGACATGGTCGGACGACACACAGAATGACCAAATTTGATTCCTTTAAGCCTTAACACCAGGCAGTCCAAATAAACAGTTGGCAGTCGTTCGATCGGCATACACCAACCCTGAGCTCAGCGTCCAAGCTGCTACACCGCCTTCAGCTATTTAACTCCCTCGTCTTCCTCAGCCATCACCTGTAACGGGGTGCCCCAGGAATAAGTCCTAAAACCTGGAAATGAGTTAGCATTTTAGGACTTTCGGTTCCCTCGACTCAAAGTCAGTGGGTTTCTTTAATCAGGTTTTGGTTGAAATAAGGAGAAACATTAAGAGATCACATCTTGTAAGTAAATACCTTAACCTGTGAAGTTTGAAGCTTTTACGTGTCTAACCTTAACCTCTTGCAAACTATTCTTACTCAGTTGCATCACAATCAGCCTTTAAGTGGGCAGAAAGTTGGCTGTGACGCAACAGAGGAGCAAGCGGGAGATATGCTGCGGAGGATTACTAGAGGACCCGCTCTACCGCCTGAGCTTTGAGTGAGTATAAAGTGGCAGAAAATGAACCTCAAAAATTATACTCAAGTACGCTACTCCAGTAAATGGGCTATTGTCTTCCTACGTGGTCCAACAACCAATTCCAAACCTGCAACTAGATTAAGCTCAGTGCTGCAGGAAATCACTAGTATGAATTTTTGGGGATGTTTACATATTCACATCATAAAATACGCTGTTTCTTACAGGACTTTGAGGCAACCATAATCTTATTTATACAGTTAAACTTCAACAGTAACACTTTTATATCCAATTAGAAACTGTAATTGGAATATACAGATCTTCCTAAAGCATAAATAACGGCAAATTACATAAAAACGGTCTTACTCATTACCATTTCTCTCACAGTAACTCCCCATAAATTACAGTTACCACTTTACTGTTGCCTGTAACCCACTACCTGCCGGTGCCTGAAGGCCACACAGTCATGCCCATCAGTAGTAGGGGAGCAGAGCCAGCAGGAGCGCTGCCAGGTCCCAATGTTCTGTGTTTTGATTAGCAGGGTTAGCTTCAGCTAAGTCCCGAGAGGCTGGAGGCAGGATTTAAAGACCTGCGGAGACAGCCTGGGAATGTGTGTGTGTGTGTGTTTGTGTGTGTGTGTGTGCGTGTGTGCGTGTGTGCGTTGTGTGTTTTGGCTCACATCTTGCAGTGCTGTGATAATCACCTGAGAATAGAGAACATCTCTTTATGAGAGGTTGGGGTCACACTGGCAGATGAGCGGCTACATGGCTTAGAGGAAGAAGAGGAGGGAGGTAAATAAAGCAGAAGAGAGAGTCGATGAAAGAGGGGAAATGAAAACGAGGGGAGTTGAAGAAACAGCTGCGTTTACATGTTCACAACAAGGCAACTATGACCAATACTATACTAAACAGAGGAATCACACTTTATTTTTGGGGCTTTACAACTTTACAAGCAGACTCCGGCTTGAACCAAGTAGTAAAAACTGAAGCTGACACTAGTTTCTGTGTAAATTAGCTTCATGTGTTTATGAAACCGAAATCAGATCATTTTCTTCCCATTCAGAGCAATAAAGGGGGTTGGCACGTTGTGGTTCAGTTTGGTCAGAGGCTGAGACTGAATTCCTTTTATCTTTGCGGGTGGATAATAACATCTGAAGGAAATCTGAGCTAGAGACAGTGGGGGAATGATGCACTGTTAGTAATTAAATGTGCAGCAAGGCGTTTAGCTGGTTATGAAACAGTTTGAATTTAATACTGATGCCTCTGTATGAGCTACATCAGCACACAAGACCATCAGCAAGAAGATTGGTTATTTCTCTTGAGTTATTCTTAATGCCTGCCACCAAATCAAATAAAAAATGCTTTAAGTACAAATTTACATCCAGTAAAAACTAATATAATTCTGTTACAAATTTTGTACACACAACATGAGCAATTAATAGGAATGTAAAGATCTATCGCAGTTAATCAGTTGTGGTATTAAGGTTCAAAGCCACCCCTTTAGATCCGCCCATGAAGATGCAGATCTGTACAAGTTGTGGGGAAATTCATCCAAAGTAAAACTTCAGATAAATATCTGTATTTAAAATGTTTTGTATGAGGAGAAACTATAACGTCTCCTTCTGGTCTTGGGGCCACAAGGCAGATTACTTGGTAGGTAATCTAACCTCTCTTGAAAAACAGAGTCAAACAGAGATCATAACTAATCTCACCTAAGATGCCATTTCTTGCAAATAAGGAGATAATCAAATTTCAAGGCAGTCTGAGGTAACGTGTTTCAAAAGACTATGAGCAACCACATAATTAAATCACTTTGAACAATGTAAATGTGAATAAAATCTGACTCTAAGCTGGTTACTTCCAGTAATCAGAGCATCGGTGTGCACGTCCAGGAAACACTCTACTGATGGAGTCGGGTTCTGCAATCGCAGGGTGACACAGACAGTTAAGGAGCATGCCAAGGGCGTTTGTGAGTTCATTCATTATCAAGTTTATGTTACAACAACGCAAGAAAGGTACAGAAACAACGAACCACGAGCTTGAGTCACCGAACGCTCCCATGAGTCAGTCTGCAGCCCTGAGCCACTTGTGCTTTATAAACACAGTATTTCAAGTATGTAAGACCATTAGTGGTAAAAGCCACCGGACGTCAGTGGCGGTGAGGCTGGTTTTAATGGACAGAAGGGACATTGTGTTTGATAATATTTACTGTAACAAACACTGCAGAGTCTGTGGGTCATTCAGGGACTTCACAGAAGAAACACATTCACGTGGGAATAAAGATTGTTAAAAAGGAGACAAACTGTGGCCAGAGACGGTTTTATGTTTAAACCGCACATGACTTTTTGTTTGTGTGATCAACTTACCTCGCTCTTTCTTTTCCTTTGAGAAGGAGTCAAACTTCCTGCGTAGAGATTTTCTCCGTTTGTGTATTGCTGTAAAAAAAAAAGAAGAGACAAAGTCACGGTAAATAAAATTCTTGTCTTGTGAACAATACACACATTCAGCTCCCTAAATTAACTTAATAATCTCAATTATCTCTTCTTTCTGTCAAACACACACATTGCCAGTTCAAACCGGCCTCATTACGACCTTTTTTTCCCCCCTTTTCTTCTCTCTTTCGCTTATTATCTTTCTCTCCTGAGTGCTCATACCTCTTCCTCAGCTCTAAGAATAGAGCGCACCATTTCAATAGACGAGACCTTGGTGTTTGTTTGTTTGAACAGCCCATTGCTTAATGGCTGCACTGCCCGAGACATGACAGACAAAGGGAAATAGTGTGTGTGTGTCTTATATGTATGTGTGTGTGAGAAAAATCTAGAGAGGTAAATGAATAGCACAAAACACAAAACTATGTTTGTCTGCATGATACAAAACTAAAAAATTCACATTTTAAACACTGATAAATCAAACGTATATCAAACAACTTAAAAAAAATGACTTTTGTTGCCAGGACGATAGGAAGGGTCCATTAAGCGGATTAATTAAGTCCCGCCCCTTTTTGCTCTGTGCTCCAATGACGGTTGAGCAATATTAGCTAGCTAATGTAAGAGGTGACCATGTCGCTTTTAGATTTTAACCTTCTTCAAAATCTGGGTCTCTCTTAAACACAGATAAGCTATGTGCCACACTCATCTAAGTACAGGAAATAGGAAAGTTGACCGTCTAGATCAACTGTTATGGTGTTTTCCTAATTTCAGCAGATTATAACCCAAGAAAATTTCTTTTAGAGCAGCAACAGTGAAGTTTGACTGCAAAAAATACGCTTTCAGTAGATGCTATGATGTGGTGTGGTGTGTGTGGTGTGTGTATGAGGGGGAGCAGTTCTGTGTGTGTGTCATTTTTGATGGTGTGCATTTTGCTTCTTGTCGGGTCCTCTGTTTTACGAGCTCTTACATCCTCCCTCCCTGACCGGGTGTATGAAGAAGAAGCCATTGTTTGGGTTACCAAAGCTGTTGTTTAGAAATCATTAATTCAAGAATGGGTCTTTTCCCTATTAAGGAACGATCGGAGTTCCCTGCATCGCAAATTGTACTATCCAGAATATTCCGGAGCATAAAGATGGAAACTCTTTGCTTATTTCCATCTTAAACACCAATTAGTAAAGGAAAAAACTGAGAGTGGGTGTTTGTGTCCATGTGAATGTGTGCATGTCGGGATAAAAGGGTCAAATTCCCATGACTGCAGGAAATTAAAGTTTATTTCTAAAGCGCACGGCCCCTCCCATCAAGCACACGCCACCTCCAGCTAAGTCTAATCTCTCAGCGACTCCCATTGAATGACTGTGTCGTGTGTGTGTGTGCGCCTGTATGCAGTCAGTGTATGATTACATAATGCACATCCACAGAGAGCTAAGACGACAGACCAAGGCAAATACAGAAAGGGAAAACAGCCCAGAGATCCAGAGGTTTTGCATCATAATTTGTTGTTGGCAGTAAGTTTTGCTAAAATGCATAATTTCAGTTAAATTATTACAAATTGTACAAAATTGCAACTCCGACAATTTAAGTTGTTTCGCAATTTGTTTTTCTACTTCTATTCTAACACAGATGCATCATCGAATTTTCGAAAGCGTTGGTGGGAAGGGGCAGATGGATTGCTTCTTTAAAGATTTAAATAAAAGAAGAGAGGAGGAGGAGTAAGGAAGAGTTAAAAAAGGTCTATGTATGGATGCTTGTTGCTCCCTCTGTGTTCTGCAAACAAAACCAGAATCAGAAAACTTTATGTCCAAACAGCACACAGATTGTTCGATTTTAAATCTAAGTTATGCAAGAAGTGCAACCACAGGCAGATGTTAACTATTATCTAGCAACTTTTTGAATATGTCATGGTCCGAGGGACTTTGTGAGAGCCGCCAGGGCTGATCGCACCCGTTCTAGACAATGATCGTAATTCCACCAGAAGTGCAGTGGAAGCATCTCTCTATTGCAGCAGCACACCAAGCTTCACAGAGAAGATTGCATTGGCGGGAAGTCAGACACTGAAACAGCATAGAGAATTCGGTCAATTTACAAAATAAAATACCCCGCGCAGACACGTATCAGATTTCTTGCTACATTAACGTTGTGGTACCAGGCCAGAAGTCAGTCAGTCAGAGACGGATCAGAGGAGATTTTAAGAGGAGAAACACACAGTTTTGTGTCCTTTAAGGACAAAAATACACAGTGCAACAACGTCGGGCAGGCGCGACGCTCTACTTCTGAAGCACTCTTGGTGGGTTTTATCGGAGCCAAACTGACTTAAATCTACATCCAGTGGAATTTCGGGGTTACTGAGGAAGTGTGAAGGGCCAGGATTGTTTCTGTATGACTGCTTGAAGACATTTGACAGTTAAAAACTGTAATTTTTCTTGCATGATTGATGATCTGAGAATGTTGTACAAGGGATTTTCAAGGAGAAAAAGAAGAAATAAAATAATTGCTGCAAAAACTTTACTTTTTCTTCTTTGCTACTGATGTTACAGAATCTGTGTGTGTTGGCCTCAATGTTTGACACTGGCTTTATTTATTTTTTTGTAGGCTTCCAGATTGTTCTTGAATTTCCCTCGGGATA